TACCATTCTTATTTTTCTGAATTTTTTTGTTCTAGACTGCTAAAATTTATGTGTGTAAATATTTTTCCTTATGATGAGAGCTGTGATGCAGAGCAGAAACTCTGTGTTTCAGTATGCTCTCAGTGGACGATAGTCAGCCAAACAGTAGCTCATGTGATGCTTTCAGTTACAAAGCCAGGGAAGACAGCTGGTCTCGCTCTGCCAGCAAACAATACGCAGGTTTTAGGAGTCTGGTCGGGACTATAGTTCCCAGTTTAACACAGTGAATAAAGGATCTGGCCAAAGGAAGTAGATTCTTCTGTAGGAAGTTAATTGAAAGCTAAGACATAAAATGAGATTCCTTTCTCCAAAGAAGAAAGGATTCCTTCTGAGGTCTAGAAAACCTGCAAGTTTCATTGTCTTATCCAGATACTTAATTTTAATTTATTTTTTTCCTTTTCTTTGCCTTGTTTTCCTTTCACTCATTGGAAAAAAACGAACCTGCTACTAGACTGTAAAGATTGAAGATAACCACACAGAACTGTACCTACCATGAAGTTTCCCAAAAAGATAATATTTTAAATAAAAAAGTGGAAATATTTATTTGAAAAAGAAGCTTAATGCAAAGTGTGTGTTTAGCTTTGAGTATCTTGAAAACTGTTACGTTTTTGTCTTTCACTAATAAAAGAATGTCTTTCAAGGTAACAAAGACCTCGAGCAGCAAAAGTAATAGATCATGCCAACTTCAAAGTTCGAGAAAGGGAACTGAATCCGTACAAGACACTGAGAGATTGGAGCTATCGTTCTCAGCATGCAATGATTCTTTAGATCAAAGAGTCAAAAGAAATACTCCCCAAACAACTGAAGATGTATGTCAAAATGGTAAGAGCATAATGCAAAGAATATGTAGAATTCAAACTACCAAAATTTTTGTGTGATTCTGACTTCAGAATGTAAGCATTAATTCTCTTTTTCTAATCCTTTATCTACCTTGTTAATTAGTGAAGGCACTTATATTAAATAATGGCTTATTCTCCTGTATGAGCTTGCATAAATGCTCATTCTCTCTGCAGGTATTTGTATTGTAAGTGTTTGAGGCAGGGATCACCTCCTGCTGGCAGTAGCCACAGGTTATACACATAATCCGCTTTTCCTCATGCTGTGTATATAACTGGGCTACTGCAGTGGTTCTTGATTATTTTGCAGACTTTTGCAAGCCGCCTTTTATAGCTTGTATGGTTGGCCCTTCCTCCATACCTAGTGTTAAATTTTTACTTTCTTGTGAATGTCATATTCCTGCTTCCCTACAAGACTCCTGTGCTGTTTGAAAGATATTTGTATCCCAGGACAATGCTCCATATGCTGTTTTTGCATGCATCAAGTAAGAAAAGCACACAATATGAGTGTTCACAGGCATTTCATAAGCTCCTTGTTGTATTTCAGACCCTGTAATTCAGACTCAGCAGACCTCTGAGAGTGGAAGAGCAGATTTTCAGCTTGCCTCACCACAAGGACCATTAGCAGACAAGAACAGGCATAGAAGATTATCTCTACAAAATGCAGCCAAAAACACATGGGACATAACCAGTGGTATGGTCCTCATTTTATGTTATTTTCCATCTCAGTTATGTGTGGCGTGGGGACTATCTGTTGTAAATTTCAAAGGACACAGTAGTAGCTCACATAAAATACAAATGTCTGTGTTGTGGAGGATTATGGAAATCAAACACCCTGCAATAGAATTGCTTTTGAGCATTGATAAAGATTTGCAGGATTAAACAGAGTGCCAGAGCAGTGAATGAATAAAATAAAAATTCTGTGCTGTCATAATTAAAGGAAAAGAACTAAAAATAATTCTTTAAATCCTTATTAAATCTAATGGTAAAGACTCCAAACATCAAATGTACAAGAAATTTTACTTCTCCCAGATAGGAGTTTGGGATATTAATTATGGTACCCATGTAATATCAGGGTTTTTTGGGTTTGGTTTTAATGTTCAGTGGCGAATTTTCTTTTTTTAGTCACAGAAAGACACCTCAGCTTATGTGGTTTTTTTCCTTTCACACCTATCTGCCAAAAGGTGTGGATATTTTTTGTCATACAATGTCATGTCAATCAACTTGCTTTGCATGTTCTTGTCAATCAACTTGCTTTGCATGTGTCTGGAAAGTACATTATTGTGGCAAAAACAGCCCTTGTCTCTATGAAAAAGTAGTGTTACTTTCTGTTAAAAGGCATAACCACCAACTGGTAAAGTATGCAAACTACTCAAATCTGCTCAAAATTGACCAAAGGAATTTTTACTCTTTGGAATGTTTAGAAGCAATTATATACTATGACAATGTCAGTAATCCATAATTACTATTATGGGTTTCATGATTTTACTGAAACAGATGCAAGATGCTAAAGCAAGTAGAGCCTTCTGGACAATTTTTAAATTATTTCCTATTTACCTGAGTTTTGAGGATTCTGAGGCAGGAATCACTATCTTGTTCTTCATCTAGTGCTGTAATTTCAGAAAAATGAGTAAACACTTGTTTTATGTAAATGTAAGTGATATGAAAAGACAGAGGCTTATGTCAGTAGACTGGCATGTCTAAATGCCCTGTTGTAAATTCAGAAGCAAAGAACTGAGGAGGAAAGCTATGTATAAACACTGCTATTTTACTGTTTGTGTTTGTGAGAATGAAAACTGTTTCTATGTAGTCTTAATTGTGTGTACTGGCAGATAAAGTCACTCTGTGACTTTAAGTTACAGCTCACCAAACTTTTTTTTTCCCCATATTTTGATTGCTTGGCACTGGTAGCTCAGTTTGCAGATTTTATTTTCAATATGTGCAGATGCCTAACTATATGTAGATGACTTAACAGTTTCTTTATCCTGTAGTACTGAATTCATCTGTGTTGAAGAGCTTCTTATAGGCAACCTATTCATCAAAGTCCTCTTCTATGCTCTGTTCTGAACTTCTTCCAAAGTGGGATAAACTTGACCTCAGAGAATGATAGGGATTCGCTGAGGAGAAGTTCACAGAGAAGGGGGGTGGAATTCAAGAGCAGAAACATCTAACAAAAAATGAGGAACCCTAATATTTTTAAATAAAATTACACCATTCAACATATACCATCTGCATGAAATATCGTAAAAATAATTTACAAAAGAAAGTGAAGTGTACACTGATATTATCAGATAAGAGGGGAAAAAACACTTCTGCCCATTTCTTACCAAACTGTTTCACTTTTGCATTTACATTTTAAAAATAAATACCTTTCCAATAAAAGCAAAGAAATTATGATTTCTGTGATAACTAGTGTTGTAGCTGCTATTCATGCACACTGTCAGGACTGTAACCCCATAAACCCTCAGAATCAATGTTCTAGTCAGTAAACCCTACAACTGATCTTGCCTCATAGTGAATAACCACAAGCTTCTTTCAAGTGGGGATGGTTCAGCCAAAAGTTTAGTCCTGACACTTCTGGCAGTGTAAATGCACATACACTTGTGACAAGTCATCGGCACAAAACTGCATTCCCCAAGCAAGTGCAAGCTTACATGGTTTCTGGCTCCCTGTTTATACAGTGGTCAAAGCAAGGTATATCAACAGGAATCTCTCATACATTACTCTCTCATCAGTCAACAGGAATCTCTCATACATTACTCTCTTATCACCAGGCATTTAGTATTCTTGAGCTCTGTACAACCATATCGTATCCCATATCTTGGGACAGTACTGCATTTGTTCTGCCATTAGCTTGAGTAAATATTAATTTAAATTTCATGAGGGGATGGGTGTTTTCATAGGTGATCTTATTACCTTAGAGGTTAGTCACTTCTATTTATAATAATACCTTTTAGATTTATTATAGAGCTCAAATCAGCATGTCTTCTGTAGCAGATGTGCAGTACCTGTAGAGGTAAATGTTTTTTTTAAGCAAGGAAAAAATAAAATGAGGGAACATTGTTTATAGTTTGCAAATCTTATTTATGCAATGCTGAAACCTTCATTAAAATGTTAGGCTGCAATTAGAAGCTTTAGCATAAGTCTGACTATGTAGAACTAATTAGATGTTTAGGTGATCGTTCTTGCATTTATCTTGTTTGCTGCAATGTTGTGATTACATAGTAATTTGCATATTTTGCTGAGAAGATACTCCAAATTGTTCATTACAATTGACATGGAAATGCTAAGTTAAAAAGAAATTCCAGTACAGTTTGTGGTGGAGAGATAATAGGATTTGGTTTGGTCCAAAACACCCCATATCTTTCACTTGTTGACTACTAACAAAATGCTACACTGACTACAGGTTGCAGAAGTTGCCAAACTCTGTAGCCAGCATAAAATGTCATCTTAAAGCCTTACAGACTTTTCTGTCTTTCCCTGCATATTTTCTTAAGAATAAGTACTGTGGTATACAAACTAATATTTGCATTTAACTTACTAGTAACCCAAATATATTTCTCCAACATCTGTGGAAATGAATGTTGTTCTTTACAGAGAAGACTAGCCTAAAAAAGCAGAATATTCAGGCTAGATACTACACAGACACTAACTCTTTTAAAGTAGTTCTTTATATTTCTGAAGTATTTTTTATCTCAGTAAAGACATTACTTTACTCACAAGGGTAAGGAGTCAGGAGTTTAAACTTCTGAGTGTCTCCTCTAAGTGCCTGACAAAAACTGTTACTTAAGATTTTTTAAATATTTTGATACTTAATTCAAAATTAAAACCACAAAAAACAAGTGGTTTAACACCTTTTTTACTTCAAATTTCATTATAGAATTTTTCTGTAATGGCCTCTGCAAATTAAACGGCAACAACTGCATTAGAAGTCATTCTAGAATGAGAAGAGAACAGAGAATAAAGACTGCAGTTAGGGAAGTTGGTTGTTTAAGTCAGTAGGCCACAATAAAAATTAAGCCGCTCCTCTACTCATTCACAATCCTTTGTGCATAAAAATTAGCAGATTCTCATGAAGTGGGTTGTACACTAAATGTATAACCATACCTTAGATGGCTCGTTACAGTGGTCTGAGCTATTAGTGCATATTTGAAAACTGCAAAGACAGCATCATACATGTGAAGTCTAATTTCATGATGGGTGAAAAGGCGTTCTGAATACTGAAGAAGTATGTGTTATACATCTTAGTCTTAGTCAAGCCACTGCTGTTAAAACCTGGTGAAATGTGCCTAGATTAAACTGTGGAAGGGTGGGTGCCAGACTGGTCAGAAGACTGCAGAGTGCTGAGGTAGGAAAAACTGAAAAAGAATCCAAACATTTTCTTAACTAGGCAAGTTTTGAAGGTATTTTTTCTTTGAAAAATGCAGCAAGTTCAAAATTTTAATATCATTGCCTTAGAAAAATAGAGTTAAGAGCATTTCAGATTTAGCATCCAGAATAGTTGGCCAAAAGATCTCTCCCAAAAGGAGAGTTGTCCAGCCAACTGAAGTCTGGGGATAAGTAGTATTTTTGGGGGGGGCATTTCTGCACACGACTTTCTGGAGTTGCAGATGTGGCAGCATCTCCAGGGCCAAAGACATTTGAGACAATTTCAGGCTTGGTGGGCCAGACTCCTAATGGACAAATGACTGGGTTCGTTAAGATACTGATTTAGTTTGATATTATTAGAAATATAGAAAATTAGTGTGTTTTCTTATGTTTCCAGTTGTTTTATTCACGTACAACCTTTCACATGTAACTCCAATTGCCTAAGAAAAAAATGTTATCAGAGGAGTGTGACACAATCTTCAGTGATCAGACAGGAGAATTCTGCTCTTGTATCCTCCTTGGAAAAACTTGTAGTTATTGATCAGAGAACAGGTCATTGATTTTACCCAAATGAAGGGTGGTTCTTAAGTTTTTACTAGTCTCATTTCTTAAGGCCCTTGAAAAGAACAGTCCACAATATTTGTAAAATAAATGGCATTACTTACAAGTTCATCTTGCAAGTCGTTTACTAATTAACAGCAAGGTGAGATTTCTGTATATTTACAAAATAGTCTTTTTATATACAAAAGACAATGATCTACTAGACTGTTTTAAACCAGCATGATCATGTAACACAAAAAGAATTTACTTGAAAAGCCTTGGGGCTCCTAACTGTAGCTGGTCTTCATGTAGAGAGTGAACCAAGTCTCTCCTGGAACAAGTAAGTGCAAGCCATGGATGTAAAAGATGTGTTAAGTACCTACTTTTCACTGTTAAGTGCAAACTACTGTTTAGGATATGAACTGCAGTTTGGTAGCTTTACCAGCTATCTTCAGTGAACTGGAAAAATCCCAGCAACCCAGTAAGAAGACAGCTGTTTCTCCTGGTGTTCTCACTCTTCTTTCTTTTGCCTTCATTTATGGTGGTTCAGACTTAATTTATTTTGCCAAGGTTGATGAATCTGTCTGAAGTGATAATTATCCCTAACAAAACTAAAGAGAGTAGAATACCGTAGTAAACTTACTGTCTTCTATGACCAAGCATTTTATTATTGGCAGTGCTACTTTTTTATTATGTGTTTTTTTTTTATTGAGCCTTTTTTAATACGGTTGGTGGTAACTTTGTTTTATGGAGCCAGAAAGTTTCAAGATCTAGTGAATAATCCACACCACACTACCTTTAATGACGATAAGGGAGTATTGCATACTTGAGCAATTCTCCTTTTCTCAGATGCTGTTTGAGATTGGTTTTAATCAATCATATTGACTTTTTTCTATACCATCATTCCAAACAGTAAAATATAAGTTAACAATGAGAGTATAAAAATGGACTTTTCATGTTTATCTGGTGCACTCAATCTTTAAATCCATTTCTGTAGTTTATTGGTTGTTTTAAAATTGGCAGATTAGTACAGCCTGTGTTCAGGGAAACTTTGTGAAACAGATATCTTCATACATTTTTCATGTCACATTATTTTTCAGCAGAGCTGTAGTTTGAAATTGAGATTTAAACCATAAGTTCTGGATATAAAAGTAAGTGTAGAATTTCAGCAATAAAGAAGCAGCAGATTGTAATATGGTGAACTTTCCACCAACTCTGATTTTTTTTTTTATTGTCAGCCACAAAAAACGTGTGGTCTAGTGGTGGACTTGGCAGTGTTACAGTAATGGTTGGACTCAATGATCTTAAAGGTCTTTTACGACCTAAATGATTCTATGATTCTATGCCTGTAGAAGATCAATAGCCAAACTTAATAAAAATATGTTTTCCTAGAATGAAATTCAGTTGAACAGTTTGAAATCTTAACAGCTAAATATTTTTAGATTTGCAAATTGCAGGTGTGCATGTCATATATCATAGCATGCACCTTTTTTGAGCTGTCATTTGGAAATGTTTTGATTAACCTTGCCTCACTTAGAAAGCAGCCTGATCTTTTTTGTTACATCGCCATCACTCTTCCAACTGTATAAATCTGATAAGCAGAATGTTTCTGTATTAGAAAAATTTACTTTGCTGTACAACTTCCAGAGAAAGAGT